GAACTAATTTGAAATTTGGCTGCTCGAAATTGCCATTATTATCATCATTCTAATGTGAATTTGGTTTTCAGGGTGTAAGCAAAGGGAAGGTGGTTGAGCATTTGATAGCAACGATGAGGAACAGCAAAGGGAAGAGACCTGACTTTTTGTTGTGCATTGGTGATGACCGGTCTGATGAAGACATGTTTGATAGCATACTGAAGCACCAAGATGTTTCCCCTATATCTCTCGCAGAGGTCTTTGCATGCACGGTGGGTCAGAAACCGAGCAAGGCCAAGTACTATCTTGATGATACACCCATGGTTATCAAGATGCTTGAATGGTTGGCCTCAGCTTCGGATAGATCAAAGGACAGTGAACAACAGAGCAAGTTCACTTTTCAACAGGGACATTGTCGAAACGAAATCATAGATCTTTGAAAATGGTTTGTTTTAGATTTGATGGTGTGATATTAAAAGGTTGTAGGATTTGAAAGTTTAGGTTACAAGCAGGGTGGTGCTAGGGTTTGTTATATGCCTTTGTACAGAGTATCTTGAACTGGTCAATTGGATTACTTGTCCTCTTGTGAGATGCTTATACATAGAAAAGGAAATAGATATGTTCTGAATTCATTTCAATTTTATTATCCTGTCTCAAGATTCAGAGATAGTGTCTGATTGAAATGAGGAAAGACAATTTGTTCGGTGAACTTTACAATTCTCATTAAAGTCTTGAAATTGGTCAGTTTTATCAGTTTCCAAGACAAATGTTGACTTTGGTTTGGGTTTCACTTTCCTTTGGCAAATTCATATGACAAAAAGTGCATTATATACTAATCAAAGTGAAAGCCTTTGTTACATGGTTTCATTCTATGAGAAGAAAACACATAAAATACCAGTTCATGGATCATACTTGTCGAGCTCGTAGAACTCAATGTTCTTGTACTTTTGCGAGATAATCTCAGCTTGAACCTTTCTTGCAGTATCTGTCGCACACCCAACAAGAATCAGAACAGAGGTGCCTGCAAATCCTCTGAATGCTGTCAAGTGAGTGATCTGTTCGACGACAGCGGGACCAGCAGCTAGAACAGCCAGAAATGCTGAACCAAGAACCGATATCCGGCCAAGGACCTGATATTTGCAATCAGAGCCAGGGAATTTCAGACATTAGATTGATGATAAACCAAAATGGGTACTTCAAAGAAATTGCGGAAGGAGAGAGAGGATCTTACGGTTTTGATGAAGAGAGCAGTGCTTTTACCAGGTCGGACAAGAGGGATTGATGCACCTTGTCGTTTCAATTGTTCACTCACATCATCCGGATCAAGTTGTAGGAAAGTGTAGTAGTAGTTGAAGAAAGCTATGAGAAGTATATTGGTTGGAAGATAGAAAGAACCTGCAAAAGTTTTTACGTAAAGTTTTAAAGTCTCCACATTATTGACAAAACAGTTTCAAAGGACTAAATCTTCTTCCTTGGTGTGAATTAGAAGAACTCACCTCCAGGGTTCAAAGCGTAAGCAACATTCTTCAGAGCAGATATGCCGGTAAATCGTGCTAGAGTAGCAGGAAGAGCGAGAGATGATGTGGAGAATATGATAGGCATCACTCCAGCACTATTGACCTTGAATGGAAGATACGCAGATTTCTGAAGCCCGCCGGCTTTACTGGTGTATCTCGAGGCATAATTGAGCGGAATTTTCCTCTCTGCTTCCTGAAGGACTTTGCTTGTTAGATGATTATATGCATACCAAACTTCTTAGATCAATTAAAAAGTACAGGACTTGGTATAGTTACGTACCTGAACATACACAATCCCGAGTACCAGGAGGAGAAATGAAACAACGATGGTCGCGAGACCAGTATAGTTTCCTTCCTGTAAGGCCTCTGTTGCTGTTCTACCAAATGATGCAGGCAAGTAGGAGATGATACTCGTGAATATCAAAAGGGAAGTACCGTTTCCGAGTTTCAGATCAGAGATTCTCTCTCCAATATACGTAGTGAGAACAGAGCCAAGCGTTAATAGCGTGACAGAAGAAACAACCCATTCAGTGCTAAAGTCATTAACGTAAGGGCGAAGGTAAAACACTTGTCCAATTGCCTGTACTATCGCAAATCCGACTGAAGCATACCGAGTATACTGAAGAATCTTTTTCCTACCAGCTTCGCCTTCTTTTTTCTGAAGATCTTGCAACTTTGGATAAACTTGAGCAAGAAGCTGAAACACAATCTGCGCATTGATGAAGGGAACAATCCCAAGAGAACATATACCAAGTCTACCAATGCCACCACCAGAAAATGTATCCAATGTGCTCAACAAACTATTCTGATCCAAATTGCCAACAAAAGCTTCTCGATTAACCCCACCGAGTGGTATATATATACCAAGCCGAGAGAGAGCTAAGAACCCGAGAAGCTTCAAAAACTTCCCCGGTAAAGGCCCTTTGAAGAAATCTCCAAAATCAATGGAACTGTCCTCAATTGCAGCTGAAATAATCAAAGACTCAGCATCACTAATCGTACTAAACCGCACAACAACCGAATGGTTTGCGTATATAAGCTAAACGAACCTGCAACGCCCCGACCAGAAGACGGCTTATCTCTTTTGGTACCAGAGGAGCTTTCAAATGTTGGAGACAAAATACTCAAAATACTTGTCCAAATGCTACTGAGACCAGAAGCTTCTTCTGGATTGATCCCCAACGGATCAAAAACCGAAGCCTCAGAGCTGAAAAAATGTACAGTAAAGTGAGAAAACAGCAACATTTCTTGATAAATCTCCAACAAATTCAAGTTCTTACTAAACCATCCATAACCTAAGACACACCGATTGGTCCTAAAAAATTGAAAAGTTGAGAACTTTAACACGCATTATCTAAAACAGGATCAGTAACATGGATTTCAATTGAAACCCATTCTGATATAAGATTGAAATCTCAAAGAAGAAGAAGTTACCTACCTTCTAGAGTTGATAACAAGACCAAGATTCCTCCATGGTTTGGGTTTAAAAGTGTTCCTGGTCTTTGTCGGAACAGAGAAGCTTGAAAAGCTTCGGAATCTCGAAGATGATTTGATGTTGAAACGAGACAGAGAAGCCAAGTTT